AGAATTTTACAGCAAATATTCATTAATTAATTAGCTAGGTCGCGTATTTGTTTTTCCCACCATCATGCCCCAAGTTGAACAAAAAACGCGACCTAGCTAATTAATTAATGAATATTTGCTGTAAAATTCTTATCAATGTTATAAGTGTAGTTACCAGTTTGTCCGTCAGTTTTAATTTCATTCCTTTAAGTCGCACACTCAATCCTTTTTTGGCCACACCTAAGTTATTTTTGATTAGATTATCAACGCTGCCATTTTAGTTTCCGGTGGTACTAAAATTTTTCAGTATCTGTAAAAGATGTATGACTAATATTTGTTTTGAACTGAAATAGCATTTGCAATAAAACAGGGTTCATTTTAAAACCTTTTGCTTTTTCGTGACATCTAACTTAATTGCTGAAAACTGCATTTAAAGATAAGGTGACCGTCTTACCTCACCTTCTGCTACATATATATTTAGACTGTATAAATACTTGGTAAAATATCCTTTGAACATTGTATAGATATAGCTTTAGCTGGATGTAAACTACAAGAAAGTGATTAAGAGAGTAATTTGTAAAATATGCATAAATTCACATGCTTGTGTTAAATGTAAATTTCAGAAAACCGCTAACAAGAAAAACGTTGTTTCGGCTTACCTTCGATGTTAACTTCAAGAAATTGCCCAGAAGAGTGAGAAAAGTCTTCTTAGAAAATGCATTTACCTGGCTTGTATGTCTAGATATTTTTACGTCGCTTACAGCCAATTTAGCTGGATATGTAAGAGCTTTCTCCAAGGTCCAGAGCCTTGTTTCAACTGTGTTTGTTAAAATACGCATGTTTTCTTCGTGGTGATCTAGAGATTATGCGTAAAATGTTTTTTATTACACTAATACTTCAGTATAGTTTTGCAGTATTTCAATACATAGACTACCTATGAATATACGCATAATTATTTTGCCCTTATGGCTTTTAATTTTTTTTAGAAAAAACTATATTTTTCAACCACTTGTTTACAACAACGGCAGTATACTGATCTTATAAACACACAAGAAATAAGATATTATAATATATAACCATGAGCGAGAACAAGTTCATCATTAAGGGTTTATTACTCAAGAGTTTGACTCACCTATGATGTTATCGATGTTATTCAAAGCGTCCTCCGTTGTTTCAGGCGATACCAGTAGGTTAGGCCCAAACCTACTTATTTCTAATAATTTATGCAACGTAACGTGGACAAGGTCCAAGATCTCTTCTAAAGGTTGGGTCACATAGCTTGACTTAAATCTACACCGAATATTAGATACTTGAAATAGTAAGCTATCACACCGGTGCCGATAACGTCACACTAGCTACAAACTGTAGTTAGATCAAAACCTGACCTATTAAACTATCACAGCGGTACCGATAACGTCACACTAGCTACAAACTGTAGTAAGATCAAAACCTGACCTATTAAACTGTTTGTAGCTAGTGTGACGTTATCGGTACCGCTGTGAATGTCAGGTTTCTGATCTTACTACAGATTAAACTATCACAGCAGTACTAACTGTAGTAAACATGTTAAGCGGGAATAGATAAAGTATAGAAAATAAAAACACTTATCAAAAAGTACATAAAAACTACAAAATATAAAGTTGTGAACACCGTATGATATTCTGTTTTCTCCCAGTATAGCTTGTTAATCTATAACCTATAATACTCATGAATAACAACATTATTTCGTTGAGACACAATCGTCATAAATATCCGAATATTATATTTACTCTCGCACCTTTAACAAAGTACAACACCTACAAGTAACAACAATATTGACACAATCTTCATAAATAGTTAGTACAACATCTATAAGTAACAACAATATTGCAAAGAAAGAAATAATTTTTAGAAACAATGTTGCACGTTGCAAGATCTTCAGATTTTAATAGATCCCCACCCCCACAAACACACTCGAATGGAACTTATGTTGTGACCTTCATACATAAGAAAACTCACATGTCCGTAGTTGTAGAGTACTGTTTATCTTCTATCCATCCTTCTAGTAACTCAGTGGTGTCTATAAAGGGGTTTGTTTGAAAGAATAAGCACAAACTAATGTCGTGTATACTTGGATAATTATATCGCATTACATTATCTTACAGGTAAAATATGACTTGTTTCTATACTGAGATTAATGAATAAACACCTTGACGTATCATCTTATCACACTATATCGGTAATATAAACCGATAATAATAGTTTTGTAATGTGTATATTTATATACTACCATCTCACGATACTACCACACATTATTTTATAATTTGACGAAGTTTATTCAATAATAAACCATCTTACAACCAATTGCTATCAATATAATCATATTCACCTTTACCATTGTACAGTATTGATATAATAATTGATTTTATCACTAGATGCTGTCTATATATTTGTACTATCTTACCAATATGTGATATCCATACAATCAGCTTATCACTCTGTATTGTCTCATAATAATATACCGTTTTTATCACTGTGCGCTATCTTTATAATAAACCGTCTTATCTACTCACTATTCAATCATATACCACCTTGCACTTTACATTTTCTATATAATCATATACCACCTTACACTTTACATTTTCTATTCAATCATATAACACCTTACACTTTACATTTTCTACACAAGCATATACCACCTTGCACTTTACATTTTCTATATAATCATATACCACCTTACACTTTACATTTTCTATTCAATCATATAACACCTTACACTTTACGTTTTCTACATAATCATATACCACCTTACACTTTACATTTTCTACATAATCATATACCACCTTACTCTTTACATTTTCTATTCAATCATATAACACCTTACACTTTACATTTTCTATTCAATCATATACCACCTTACACTTTACATTTTCTATATAATCATATACCGCCTTACAGAGTATATTTTCTATATAATCGTATATTACCTTATAACTTTGTGTTCTCGTTTAACTGTGCATTTTCTTCTTGCTACGTAGTAAAAATCTTATGTTATATGATTTTTAAACTAAAAAATTTCGAACTCCTAATCTGTAGTAACAATTAGAATAAATTAGAGAACAGTGTATCATTTTACTGAACAATGTTTATAATAAGGTTAACTGACAACTGAGGCTAAAACAATGAATTTTTCAGCATAAAGGATTTCAGTTTTATAAAATGAAATTTAACAGGCCCCTCACGAGCCAGTGGGGGTTATTTTGGTTGGAAAAAACTGCCCATACTTTTTTTTCATTTCAACTGAAATTTTTTGGACATGTTTATTGACTAAAAAGAAGGCATTTCCCGCACTCGTTTAGCGTTGGAGCATCACGAGTTTAAGCACAAGAAGCATGGAAGTCTCCAAATGACACACAAAGGTATTCAGGAACAGTTTAGAACCACCTTCGTAGATATTGTGCAGCAAGCCGAGTACAGTATTATGTCTGTAGCTGCTTTCAAAGTGTTCCTGTCTACTCATCCTACTGCTGACTATCGTGATACTTCGACCTTCCCAACCGAATCGTAGGTGAAATAGTTCGTATCTCAATTGAAAGCTAAACATAAAACAAGGTGATAGCAGAAGCATAAAAGGTTGGTAATTGTTTAATTAATGATGCTGAAAATGTGGCTTTATTGATATATACTGAATTTACTCCCAGCGGGTAGACCTTAGTACTAGCTAGTATGAAACTTGAGGATGCTGTATTTCACTTAAAAATTTACCATTTAACAAATGAAAATTTGTTTCGAAAAGATACGTCCTGAACCACCCTCTTTGGGAGTTTCTGGATTGAAATTACTTTAAAGACACTGTAAAGACACTCCTTAGCTCCTGAGGGGGTGAGTTAAATGATATCTCAAATATTTTATTGGTGATTACAATTTCAATCTGAACAGTATCTTATACGCACTTCGGGTTTAGGCATAACTATCCTCAATTTTGGACCGCTGACCAGAGTGAAGGCGGCCAGACAGAAGCACTCGCCGCCACAATGGCTTTGAACCTAATACAGGGATTGGCTGTTACTTTTCTAATGCGTCCACAGCTGAAAGTGTGAAGCGTATTAAGCATAATCACATCTCGAACCTAGGACCTTACGATAAGCAGCTCGACACACGAACCAATTGACAATGCCCATCCCTGTTTGTTGTTTGTTATTAAGCACAAAGCTACACAAAGGGCTATTTGTGTTCTGCCCTCCACGGGTATCGAAACCCGGTTTCTCGCCTCGCAAGTCAGCAGACATACCACTGTGTCACATGGGGTGGGGAGGTGGGCTGGTAGCCCTGTTTGATAGATACCAAAAGTGTCATTTTACTCTCTAATTTCCGGATTATCATATTACTAAGGTCGTTAACGGTAACAATATAATTTCTCTTGTTTGCATGTTTTTTACATATCTTTACACTTTTAAAAATAAATGGACCTTACTTTGTAGTAGTTTGGCAAGATGAGGTGCCACGTGACTAAAAATAATGTTATCTAACAGCATCCGCACATCTCCAGACGAGTGAGAAAACAGCTGATAAACAAGCAGAAGTATGATTAACCTGTTTGCCATTGGGTTTTTTTTTTCACCTATCTGTAAGCAACAAAATAAATATAAAAATAGATTATCGATTTTTAAAAAATCTCGATTAAGTTAGTACTATTGTACATTGTGTTTTTCAACAGAAATTCTTTTAAAGACACATTTGGCGCCACATACGTGTGCCTTACTAAATGTTCTCTATTAACGAACACAACTCTTCAAAAAATCATGAAATAATTCATTTTCCACACGTTTTTCATATTATGGATAATCTTGAATGTTGTTACGTAATGAAAATTGTTACTTACAGTAATTTTCGCGAGTTCACTGGGAACAACATTAATCAAAAGTGCAGATATCTAAAATATTAGCACGCCATCTTTAAATAAAACATTCTATAAATGTTGGAAATAAAGTTTGATAACCATTCTTGTGAGGGAAATACGGTTTTGTCGTTAGGCTTAATGTAAAAATACAATAGATCGTAAAAGTGTTTCTTCTTTGTCATATATAATTTCTTTTGAACAAATATCTGCTAACTGTAAGAATCATTTCTCAGTAAAATATGCCCTTGTAAAAACAGCGACTAGTAATAGCAACAGTGACTTTACAACAGCTAAACATCATGCAGTTAAAGGTGTAGTTTCGTATCATAAACGTATATGAACAGGAGCATCACCAACCTCTTTCCTGTGAGAAGGATAAGGTTGGACAGACGTAAAATTAAGGGAGAAGCACCCATTATCTTGTGAGAATACATACTATAGTACTTACGAAATGAACCATCTAAGCTTTTTTCGTTGGGTGCATGGGCTACGGGGGGAAGTTAAGGCACATTTCGGGTAGCTTCAACCCAGTAAGCCACTTCTGTATATAAGAATATTTAACGAGCACTACAACAATCTTATATGTATAACTTTGCACTACCTCACGAGACAATGACTTCATGACCTTACTACGTTTTGTCGTAAATATTTGTTGTTTCTGGTAGAACCTGCCATGTTCGAAAACTTTTTTTTTTCTTAGTTTATAGCCTATTTTGCTTTCTAGACGAGATTAATCGTAATTTTACTAGTATATCAGTCTATCAATTGAATCGAATGATCACTGTATATTGTAAAAGAAATATTACTTGGTGTTACATCAAATCATGAAAAATTTAAAGATATAAATACATACAAAGATACAAGTTAATTAGTGCAACTACTTACTGTGTCACCATCACACTTGAATAACGATATAACAAATGTAACTTATTTTAATACATTTCACAATGACCCCTGGTCACGTGACAGCATTTCCAGCAGGTGGCAGGCGATGATAATTTTCTCTTTCGTACGTTGTTTATTCATCTTGATAGTAACAGACCGTCGTATATTGTTATTGACATTATTTAAGTTGATTTCGTATCTTAAAGGCTGTAGGTGCGTTATCAACTGTTTACACACTTTCTATAACATAGCGAAACGAAGCCTTAACCGCGTGGTAAGCTTCGTTTGAAACTGGTCGTAATAGATTTAACAGTAGAGTCCAAATACCTTCATAAGGTGTAACATTTCTACAAACGTAATTCTCTTGATATAGTTCATTATTCAACTCAACAAAGTACGTAGAAAATTACTTATGTAATTTCTGGGATGCATGGAGGCACGCTCATTCAGTGAGATCTGAACAAGTGTCTGAGAAAGAGCTTCCAGTATGCAGAAACTAATTGAATCATGCTTCAATGCTCAATTTGAGTCTTTAGAAGATGCTTTAAAGATTCAATTTGAAATTAGCATTTATCTTCTGCACCAGTTCCCCCCAGCCTTGTTATTGTGTGAAATAAAAGTAAAAGCGATTTACCTCCGAAATGTAATAGGCTAGTATGGGCGTCAGCAAGGGGGCACTGCTCCCCCTAGATCATGTAACCAAATTTTAAAAGATAACATAAAATATTTTTCTTTTAAGAAACAAATATTGCGTTCTCTAGTTAAACCTTTGGTATCATTTTATCATTGTGACTCTCTCCGTAATATGTCCTACATGAAGGTTAGGGAGGGCGAGGGTTTTTGCAAGGGCAGATCCTAGCTGAATTAATATTTGGTAATTTTAGTATACAAATACCATGTTAAGCCTGAACTCAGTAAAAAAAACTATTGTCTTCGCCCAAATGACACGTTTTTATTTGTTATAAAACAGTGATTTAGAATAACATTTATATTTTATTGTCTAAAAATCTTTTGTCCATTTTCAGGATAACAACATGGTTTTGTAAATGAAAGAAAAATTAGTAAACAGAATTATTTTTTTCTATTTTGAAACGTTTTTTAAACATTCGATTTAGGGAAAATTTCAGGCGGTATGCACAAGCAGGCATGCATCAGTACCAGCAAATAACAGAGTTCGGTGTCGTGTTGTTAAATGATGGGTAAAGGTGTTGTTAAATGTTAGAGAGAGAGATGTTTTGAATGACAGAGGAAGATGATGTTAAGTGATAGAGTGATGTGTGATTGAATGATAGAAATAAGTGTCGTTAATTAATAGGGAAATGTGTCGTTAATTAATTGAGTGAGATGTTGTTAAGTGTCGTTAATTAATAGGAAAATATGTCATTAATTGATACAGTGAGATGTTATTAAGTGTCGTTAATTAATAGCGAAATATGTCATTAATTGATAGGGTGAGATACTGTTAAATGTCGTTAATTAATAGCGAAATATGTCATTAATTGATACAGTGAGATATTATTAAGTGTCGTTAATTAATAGGGAAATGTGTCTTTAATTGATTGAGTGAGACACTGTTAAATGTCGTTAATTAATAGGGAAATATGTCTTTAATTGATTGAGTGAGATATTGTTAAATGCCGTTAATGAATAGGGAAATATGTCATTAACTGATACAGTGAGATGTTATTAAGTGTCGTTAATTAATAGGGAAATGTGTCGTTAATTGATAGGGTGAGATACTGTTAAATGTCGTTAATTAGTAGGGAAATATGTCATTAATTGATTGAGTGAGACACTGTTAAATGTCGTTAATTAATAGGGAAATGTGCCTTTAATTGATTGAGTGAGATACTGTTAAATGTCGTTAATTAATAGGGAAATATGTCATTAATTGATACAGTGAAATGTTATTAAGTGTCGTGAATTAATAGGGAAATATGTCATTAATTGATACAGTGAGATGTTATTAAGTGTTGTTAGTTAATAGGGAAATGTGTCGTTAATTGATAGGGTGAGATTTTATCAACTGACAGACTGAGGTGTTGTTGAATTATAAGAACTTATGACTCAAAGTAAAGAAGAATGTAACAATATGTCAACTACACCATGTCTGCTATATACCAGGAGTTATCACGCCAGCTAGGATACAACAGATACGTTAGTTGTTGAGACGCTAGTTATATTTTTCGGGGTTAACTAAATTTAGTTGGTGAACAGTAACTTGTATCAATTTTATTTAAGTCATTAAACATCAAATTTGGGTTTATGATTTTTATTAACATCAAATAAATACTTATTTATTTTAACATTATTCTTTTATTATTATAGACTGAGGTATTGTTCAGTGTTAAAGTGAGGTGTTGTTCTATAATAGGATGCCATGTAATTAAACTGTAGAGAATTGTGTCGGAAAATGATAGAGGTGTTGTAAACGGGAAGAGTGTTGAGACACTGAATATCAGAGTGAGGTGTCACTAAAAGATAAAGAGAGGTGTCGGTGATACAGAGAGAGGGGGGTGTTTGTAATACGATAGTCTTCACGTTCTTAATTAAGGTGTGGTACAATTCCAACATTTGAGACTATTATTACATTTCGTAGCTGAGTTGTTAGTTCTATGGATAATTTCAGATTATGTTTTCTCTATTATATAAAAATGACTAACAGTTTTGAAATTTACTCAGTTTTATTATCCTCAGTAATTATACAAATACACTAATTGAAAATACTTTATTGTCTGAATATTACATTAATACTCTACATTATATGTTATAATAATGCCCATACATTGAATATTATATTAATACTCTACATTATATGTTATAATAATGCCCATACATTGAATATTATATTAATACTCTACATTATATGTTATAATAATGCCCATACATTGAATATTATATTAATACTCTACATCATATGTTATAATAATGCCCATACATTGAATATTATATTAATACTCTACATCATATGTTATAATAATACCCATACATTGAATATTATATTAATACTCTACATCATGTTATAATAATGCCCATACATTGAATATTATATTAATACTCTACATCATGTTATAATAATGC